AAGTGTTTCACATTGGGTACTCTTACCTTATCGTATAAATTGACACAGTATTGTCTCGCGCAATTTAGCCTTCGCAAAGCGGTTGCTGGATTAATTCTGCTCTAGATTATTCAAGTTTTTCACTCTGAATTACTCAATTTTCGATAATTACGTGAAACAAATTGCTGTTACATTAGGAACAACAGAGAGAGAGGAAGTTATAATTATAATTATAATATGTATTAGATACATCAGATATATAAATATATATCATTAAATAAATACGTACTAGATATGTCAGATATATAAATATGTATCATCAAATAAATACATATTAGATATGTCAGATATATAAATATATATCATTAAATAAATATATATTAGATATGTCAGATATATAGATATATATCATGAAATAAATATGTATTGGATATGATAGATATATAAATATATATCATGAAATAAATATGTATTGGATATGATATAAATATATATTATTAAATAAATATATATTGTATATGATGAATATATAAATATATATTATTAAGTAAATATATATTGGATATGATGAATATATAAATATATATAATATAAATAAATATATGTTATAGTAAATATATTTTGTGAAAAATTGCCGGGCATAAAAGTCTCGGAATGAAGGATCAGAAAATAAATCAGAGAATTGTTATAAACATCGTGCGAACGGGTCCGCCTTCCGATGGTCACCCCGTCGAATTATTATACAATTAAACCGAGATTTGAGGCCGCGTCGCGTGTAAATTGACAGAGTCGATTGGCCAGGGCGCAGACTCCACCCCGTTTCGAAATGGCGGTGGTTTCATTTGCTAACGAGCGTCCGAGGATCCGGTCGCGCGGCTCCACCCCCGCAGTTTAATAACCATTAGCCGGAGAATTTTCGTGGCACGGCGAACACATCCCCCGGCCGCGAAGGTGAAAGCCCGTGCGACGGAGAAACGAAGCGAAACGGCGAGGGTGTCAAAGATCTAGAGCGCAGATAGCGGGGCTCTCGGTATCGATGAGCTGGCTCTCTCCGCGTATCGATTCGACGCCGGGCCGCCCCGGCGTCCGTCGGGGCCCGGAGCACCCTGCAGACCCCTTTTGCTACGCGCGCAACACCGATAAGATCCGGCCGATAAGGCACGATTACGCGTCGCGACGCCCCCCTTCGCCCTCGCCGGTGTGCTCTCGAGCTTTTCTCGGCCCTCGACCCTTACCCTTCTCCCCTTTGACCGGCCAGGGTAAACACCGCTCTGCTGGTTGTCGCCTCTCCCACGATCCCGGTCGCCTCTCGAGAACCGCTCTGCCGATGAAAATGTCGCCGAGGGGCGGCAGAATTTTTCGGGGTGGTCTCCGCTTCTCGCGGATTATTTTTTTTTTTAGGGCGGTGGATGCTGGGTTCTGTTCCGAGTGGAACGAGCCGTCGGACTCTGGGTGTCTGGAATTATTTGTGGGGTTGGTTTTAGAGGAAGCACAGAATGAGTTTGATGGTCGGGGTGCGCGATGGCGCGAGAGTAGGTGAATGTAAATATTTAATGATTAAATGTGGGTGATTTGTATGAATATTAAGTTAGAAGGGAGGATGCGAGAGTGTGAGAGGGTGGACAAAAGGAGTGAGGGAACAAGGGTGAGTTAGAGGGTGTTGAGAGAGAACAGAGGATATATAGTCAGAGTATTGAGAGAATTAATAAGATTATATTTAATATAATTATATACTTATAATTATAATTATAATATATAATATACTTATACTTATAATTATAATTATAATATATAGTATACTTATAATTATAATTATAATATGTATAATATATATAATATAGTATATAATTATATACGTATAATTATATATTTATATACACAAAATATATACTTATATATATGTACATAGTTTAATTGTGCCATAACCCATTCACACTGTTACCCCTTCGAAGTCGAGTGGTAACTTCAAGGCACTCCAAAAAATTGTCATATCACGTTACAAAATAATTTGAATATCATTGAATTTGTTTCTACTTAACACTAATTTTTCAATTAACAATTAGTCAGATTATAAAGATACATTTATGATTCATTCAATATATGTATTACTTGCAGTAAATATTACAATAACACTCGTCAAAAATCAGAATAAATGTCATATTCTCACTTTTATAAACTAATATGAAACAGTTGTTTTTAATGCTCCATAAATTTTAAAAATGTGTAACCGTTGCACGAGTTACAAAATTCAATTTCATATGCATAAAGTGCACTAGATTATGTAAAATACAGATGCTATAGCACAGAGAAATTATTTTCGATTTCCAGTTAAAATTATTCCGACTGCAAAAGATTAATTATGCAGACGTTATAAATTGTTACAAAAAGAAAATTCTTTGAGGGTAGTTACCCCTTTCCGTGGAGTTTTTCGTGGCAATAGATTCAGCGGCAAATTCTGAATGGAACGAGCCGTCACAATCGTCATCCAAGACTGCTAATAAAAAAGATAATGTCTAAAATGTTGTCAAGAGTTGATATAATTTTTTGAAGTATAACATTCATTTCTCTAACGAACATTACACATGAAAATTTGATCGAAAACACTCGATACTTTTAAAATTATATCACCAAAAATTCAATATCGTTTTTAAACACATATAAAGTTATCGCGAGGGCACAGTGACCAGGGGGACGGGAGCACAGTAATCGGCGCGCTCGCCCCACCAACATTTATACACGTTTATTTGATTCTCCCTCGAAATTCGCCCGCGGATACCAGAAAGGGCAAGCATTAGCGGATTATCCTTGGGACTCTGCTCGATCTGGATCGCAGGTCTCGCGCAGTGGACGAGTCGTAGATCGCGGAGGACAATGGGGGGGCTGGAGGGAGGGGGCTCTCGAAACAGGAAGACGGCCGGGTAACACAAAAAGGAAAACAGTTGTTGCAGCGGGGACACTTTATATTCGTGGACACGCGCTTCGGGCGTATTGTGACGCGACGCACGGCCGGCGTGCACAAAGGGGACGCAATTTCGGCGGGGCGCGAGGGGCGGGGGAGGGGGCAGGCCCGCCGCGATTTTGTTCTCGCTCGGCCGAGTTTCAATCGGTTTTCCATTAGCCGGCGCAGAGAGGAAGCGCCCTTGTGGACTGTCGCCGACAATGATCCAGGTACCGCCCCTCCCCCCCGCCCCCCTTTTCCTGGCCGCCGTTTTTTTCCTCGGAAAACACAGGGACAACTGGCGACACTGTTCCCGACGTAAGTGGTCCTCGAATGGGAAACGAGAGCCAACGAAACAAAATAAAAAATTGCGATGGAAAGGGGGAGGGGGGACTAGGAGCGGAGGGGGATGGCGAGAGGGCACGGATTCTTCTTCCCTTTTCGGTTTCTTTTCGAGCGGCGCACGATACAGTTTGCGCACAGTGTAAACAGGTGTACCGGAGATCGTTTCTCGTTCACAGGGGTCGGAATAGGGGGGCGAAAGGAGGGGGGGTGGGAGCCCGAAAGAGGGCACAGGTAAGAGGACTAGCTCGCGTTTCCAGCCGAGTACAGCCGAACGATCGGGATGGGGGATTAAGGGCGGCCGATTTCACGCGATCCCATTCCCGGATCGTGGCTTCTCGAGTCTAGAAGCTGCTCGACCGTAAGAATGGAATTTCTCGATCGAAAAAAAGGCCCCGAAAAGGGGGCCCGTCACGCGGCCCTACGTAACCTATGCGCTCCGATAGACGCCTACTCGATCCGTCTTCCGAGAGTTGCTTTCGACCGAACGATCCGTGTGTGTTCGTATGAAAAGGTTTCCGTCGGGACAGAATTTTTTTTTACGAACGTCACTCAGACGTTCTTGAAGTAAAGAGTTTGCTCTTCGGAACGAGCATAAGTAGACCTCCCAGCGATTTTTTTCTTCTGAAGTTATGGTCGTTCGAATATGGCCAACTTTCGACGCAAGATTTGCTGGTCATTGGTTACACGGTTTCATTTTTCATCGAGGAGGCGATAAATCGGGAAGGAAACATCGTACATCGATTTAATTGGGTTCGTTGGAAAGCAGAGACTTCATTCTTGATCGTCATGGTGGTATCGATGGAGAACAAAATTTTTGCAACTTTTGGCAAGGGTCTGAACTTGGAAAATTAGGAAAAATTACGAACTTTTACTTTTCCGTATCTGATCGAGTCAGACAATTTTTTCGGTAAAAACAGCATTCATAGTTTCAAAGCGCTAACTTTGCCCTTTAAAATGAGCTAAGGTGGTGCCTCTTGCGATTTTTCTTCGCGAAGTTAGAGCAGCTCGAATATGATCGATTTTTGACAGAAGAATTGGTTATCATTATACCAATGCTGCAGGCACCTTTTCTCATTAAAAATGCGATAAATCAGCAGAAAAAAATCGTACGTCGATTTTCTTGCACTCATTAGAAAGCTGAGACTTCATTCTTGACCAGTTCGTTGGTATCAATGGAGAAAAAAATTTTTGCAACTTTGGGCAAGAGTCTGAACTTGGAAAATTAGGAAAAATTACGAATTTTTACTTTTCCGTATCTGATCGAGTCAAACAATTTTTTCGGTAAAAACAGCGCACAAAATTTCAAAGCGCTAACTTTGCCCTTTAAAACGAGCTAAGGTGGTGCCACTTGCGATTTTTCTTTGCGATGTTACAGTAGCTCAAATATGGTCGATTTTTTACACAAGAATTGATCATCATTATTCCAATTTCCATATTTCCTCGTTAAAAATGCGATAAATTAGCAGGAAAAGATCGTAGGTCAATTTTTTTGTACTTGTTGGAAAGCGGAGACTTCAATCTTGACCTTTACGTTAGTTCCAATCGAAAACAAAATTTGTTAGACGCTGTAGAAAATTCCCAAAACCAACTACCCCCGCGATGCACATGTTGGAGGTGGCTGAAGCTCGTTGGAGCCAGTATTTTGAATTATGTCAGCGTCCGTTATGGGGGAATGAAATTTTCAAGAATTATGTCGCCGTTACGGGTGTGATATCTGTTTGTTTTTTTTCCAAAACTGTCGCTGCAGAGTGCGGCGAGGCGGGCGGGCACCAGCTGCGCCAACTGCAAGACTGCGACCACCACGCTATGGCGGAGGAACCAGGCCGGCGAGCCAGTTTGCAACGCGTGCGGCCTCTACTACAAGCTCCACAACGTAAGTAATCGATCGTGTACTCGAAAACCACTTACTCCGAAAACTATCCGAACGCTAAATCAATCCGGCTTTCCAACAACGTCGAACCGCTTGCTGCCTGCAACGAAATTCTCCGGAATTACATATCCGAAAGACGTTCCACCGAGAAAAGAATCATGGAAAGATGAGAAGATCCTGGAAAAATAAACAAAGACCTGGAACAATAAACAATTTATTATTCTTCCTCAATTTCGATTCGCTCGTCGCGTACAAATTTTTCCCAAATTTACGAACGCAGTAATTTCTCCCTAATTCGCGCTCGGATCGCGCACGAAAATGGACTTCGCGTTTCACAAGCAGTTTGTTGTTAAATAACATACCGCGATCCGATGGAATTCTCCGTCGAAGTGACAAACACTCGAATCTCGAGGAATTCCGTTGCCGGAACAATGCGTTTGGAAAGCTCGATTGTCTTCGAATCGAGAGACTCGCGGCTCGGTGAACTCGAACGGGCGGCCGCACGATGCATCTTTTTTCTTTTTTCTTCGTCGTATCGTTCCGGACTTCCGGCGGACCAGACGTCCTCGACAGAGGAAGACAAGCGGGAAAATCCTGGATGGGAGGGCGCGGGGGACGGTCGAGGGGGGTTGCCGGGGAAAGCGGATCCGTGCCACTCGATACAATGTTTGCCGAGGAGGGGGACGCCGACAATGGGAGGTCGGGGTATTAAACGGCGGATACGAGATTCGTAGCGATAAAAAGCTTTCTTCCGATAAATAGAGGAGGCAAAAGGTCGGTCTTTGGCCACCGTCGAAGCCACCGATCGTCGCTTCACCGCTACAGCCCGGGGACGGATCGCTAGAAAGGAAGATAGAACGGAGAGAGAGAGAGAGAACAGGGTTTTTGTAACGCGATATATCGGATTGCCATTGTCGCGGGCCTCCACTCTCGAGATCCATTGTCGGGCACGCCGTGGAACCTAATTCCTCCGGTACTCCCCCCCATCCAATCGGTCCTTCCGTTCCATTGGAAGTCGCTCTAACTCTTTGAACGACGGTACAAACATTTCTGGATAAAGACTCGGCCACTTTGTATACGATCGGCGCAAGTCGATTGACCTTAAAATTCAGTTAAATGAGGATTTTGCTGATCGTAAAAGAATAACAATGTCGCCGATGATGGAAAGTATAGTTTTTGTTGGAAGATGACATACGGATGAACTTAATCAGGAGAGAAACGAAGGATGAATGTCGATGTATTGTAAATTCTCCCGAATTGTCCCTAAGATTGGGAACGAAAATGGACAACTTGGGAAGAGGAGCCACGATTATTCGGGTCCTTTTATAGTCGCCGATTGTCAATAACTATATAAACGAGCTGGAAGACTATAAATAATCGTATCTTATTGTTTACAGTTTAAAATATAACCATTCTTGTTTGCAAGCTGAGGGACGATTTGGGAGAATTTCACTCGACAGCTAAAGTTGTACTAACGTCGAAAAACGGGGATGTATTCTGCGGTGTTCTATCTAGAACGATGACTATATCCGACTTAATTTAGAGTAGCCGATTTTTTATTAACAATGTCAGAGTTGAAAAGTGCATTTCGTGGAATGTATGTGCTTCGTTTCGTCCGGTAGCTAAAGTTGTATTGTCACATTGATTGCCAAGTCTATTTCTAGAAGCCGAAAATAATTTTTTTTAAATTAAACAATGATAGGTAAAAAATAATAATAAATGAGACATACTACTTAAACTCGTCAGAACTGCTGCAATATCAACTGCAAAATATTGTACTGTAGATTTTAACACGTGAACAATATAATACTTCTCTTAAGTCTTGCATGTTGATAAAAAAACGTAATAAAAAAAACATAACTCATAAATTTATATATAAAACTTTTCTTTTTATATTCGTGTTCGATCCGGGGGCACAGTAATTGGGAAAGGTACAAAAATTGGGCAGACACAGGAATTGAGACTGGCACAGAAATTGGTACAGGCACAGTAATTGGTACATCCACTCTACATCTCGCTACCAATAAACACATTTCGTAAATAAACGTCGCGATTAGTGCGACCATAAATAATCATGTTCAACAGCTCAGTCTCATAGAAATAGAAAAGTAGAAAAAAAAGAAAAAAAAGAGTAAAATAAAAAAGTGCACTGTGTGCACCGCGAGTAATTAAACGAACATCGCAATGGCCCTCTAGCATTCGATTTTCCACGACACCGTCGCGATCTAAGAGACGTCCGGTCACTAGAGATCAGTGTTGCGCCAACAATTAGGGTGGCAACCGTGCGAACACTGTCGCCAGCGCTTCCCCCACGGAACGCGGGGGTGGCCCAGCGCCTAGAGCGTGCTCAACGGCCTGTGACACAGGAAGCACCGGAAGTAACAGCGCAGCTCCCTCTAGACAAAAGGGAAGAGGAAATCCTCGGCGATTCCTCTTTTTTCTCAAGAACCGCCGTCGACGCAGCACCACGCGTCACGGTAACTGCGGAAATCTGCGACGAGTGCGTGGGCGCCCGGCGACCTTAATAGGCCAGAAACTAGAGAATCTGCTACCGCGATGTTAACTTTTCGCAATTCTAATGCTTTCACGGCCGCAGCCACGTGACCGTGACTACGCGAAAATTTCAATTAGGAAAATCGATTCGGCGCAGTTTTCTTTACAGATATCTGTCGTAATTCTGTTGTTGACAGCATTCGTCTGATATTTTTGTTAATATTATGGATAATATTAATGCAGTATTATCAATCTTATATATATTAATAATAATAATGTTATTGATATTACTACTATTACTAATATTATTATTAATATTATTAATATTAATGATAATATCCCTATTATTAATGTTATTAATATTAATGATAATATCCCTATTATTAATATTATTAATATTACTGTTATTAATATTATCAATATTATTATTACCATTATCAATATTATTAATATTATTACTAATATTATTAATAATAATATACATATGATTAACGTAGCATATCATAATTGCACTATTAAAACAGTGTACCACAATTACATTATCAACACTTCAAACTGCGGCGTCACGCATACATGATTGTCAGAATTATTTAAAACAATTAATTAATTAATTAAAGAAATAAGTAAATAAAATACTAATAAATAAATGTCGTGTATAACTTTGCTTTGCAATTTTAATTCCATCGAATAACATACTTCAGTTCTATGAAACGTTTGAGATCGAATAAATAAATAAATAATATTTTCGAAAATACGTGCTCGATAAAATTGCTGAGTAAAGAAAGCAGCGAATTGTCGCAAACATTGTCGCGACGTATGTAAAAACGCTGCGCTGTCGAAGCGGTTAATTAACCGAACCGAACCGCAAAGAATTTCGTGCAAATTCGATCGTCCACAGGGAAACGCGACTGCGGCCGCCGCTGTTCGCTAATTTATTGTCTGAGGTAGAAGAACAATAAAATCTATTGTTTCGCGGCGACGCCCGGCGACGCGACGCCCGGCGATAACGATCTTGATGGCGAGCGCGATCTCTCCTGCGATCTCGATAAGGAGAGTGAAAGGGGGGAGAGGGATTCGTTTGCGGCTCGCGCTAATTGGCCCGCGATTTCTCTTACGAGAGACACACGACTCACTGTCCCCCCTCCCTTCCTCCCTCTTTTTTTCCACCTCTCTTTCTCCCCCCTTCGTCTCCACCCCTCTCTCTCTCTCTCTCTCTTTCTCTTTGATTCTCTGTGTTTACACAGATTTCCCCCCGGCCGTTATCTCGCGAGCTTTATCGGATCGCGGGACGCCTGACGATTTCAAACAGTCGCGAACTGTCCGAAACAGATTCAAACAGTGGCAAACGATCCCGAACAGCGTCAAACTCCGCTCGAATTTCCGCGCGACGAGCCGCCGCGTTTTAATGCAGGCTGTCCAGGCCGAGACGAGTTTCCTGGTAATCGTTAATTAAGCGAAGGGCCTCCGTTACGCCGTCGCGGGCTCCGTCGCCGACGTCGGCGAACGGCGAAGGGGGGGATAAATTCGACCGTGCTGGACAAAATCGACGTTCTTCGACGCCGGTGTCCGACCTTTCGAGACTCTATCTAACGGATGCTTGATGATTATTTTATATTTATAATAACGTATTAATTGCGCGATAACAGGTGACACTGATTTTTAACTAGATCTTGAAAGTCAATGTTCTTGTAATATTTGGATCGATCTGGAGCAGTTTTTTAATTTTATTTCTATTTTAATATATTGAATAAGCTGAACGTCGCAGAAATTTTTGGAATGCAGGAGAGTCAAACTAATATTTCACAAGGTAAATAATAATTATCATGTTATATAGTATTAATATCTTTTTGTATACTTAATGCAATATTTTATGTTATATCATATAATATAATGTAATATACAATATTATATATAATATAATATATAGTATTATATATAATATAATATGCAATATTACATATAATATAGTGTACAATATTATATATAATATAATATATAGTATTATATATAATATAGTGTACAATATTATATATAATATAATATACAATATTATATACTATATAATATACAATATTATATATTGTATAATATACAATATCATATATTATATAATATACAATATTACGTTACGTAATATATAATATAATATTATGTAAAATATTAATATTTAAACTTTCTAATTTCGCTTCCATTAATTAAACGATTACGATAAAGCCTCATCGACCACTCAGCCACGCTCAAATTTTGTCAATTTTCTTTTAAATAACAATTCCCGGAGACGGTTGATTCGAATAATCTGCTGCATAACGAACGAAATCAGCTGTTGCATTTGAACGATTCTCAAAGGAATTCAACTTCGACGACCGACGATTAACAATGACGATTTAAACGATTTATCTTCTCGACACCGTGTGACGCGGCGTCGGAAAGTTGGTCGCCGTTTGAATAACCCGTGGATCGCGCGTTGTATCGGCCAGAACCGCTGCTCGTTGTTATAACCAGATGAATCC